GTGTGGGGGTGGATGTTGGGTGGGTGTGGGCATCCTGTTAACCCCCACGCACACCCACACCCACACCCACACCCACACCCACACCCACACCCACACCCACACCCACACCCACACACCCACACCCACACACCCACACCCACACCCACACCGACACCCAAATCCACACCCACACCCCACACTATAATAATCTATTTAAATAAAAAAAAACTCGAGTTTCAAATTCATTTATAATTCGACGGGGTCTTAACTTTCAAAAAGAAAATGGAATAGATTATAATTTGTTGGAATCATATTTATTTTTTCCTTTCACTGCCAAAGTGCTTCGAATTCTGGCATGTCTCGCATTTTTTCAGCCAAGACTTTGTCAAATTGTTGTTTCTGTTCATCACTCATGTATGATTTCCCGCCTCCAATATTTCCAGTTTGAACAAATGCTAATGGAACTCTTGGTATTTTTGGGTCATTCGTTGCGTGTGCATAGAAATCATTGCGAGCCTTGTCAAAGTTCTTCTTCATGTATTCGAATGAAGAAGTGGCCACTACACGATCCAATAATTCATCCTGAGCGTTCAATTCGATATTGAGAAATTGAGCCACTTTTCGAATGACACAATGGATATCTCGTTTCATCTGTTCATAACTGATGATCAGGACATTTTCACGATCTTTGTACGGCAGTAGCGAATGTAAATATTCGAAATAGTCACATAATGGTACTTGGCCTTTGAGAAAATCGTCGAAAAACTCATCGAATTGGCACTCAAAATACTTCGACAATGGATTTCTCTCAAGAAATCGATAGAATGAGGCACAGACATCTTTAGGATTGCGAATAATACAAATGTATTTCGCTTGTGGATGATAAGAAATGCGATCAAATGGCAAATGGGTTTTGATCGAACCTGGTCGAACCATTGTGCTAACAGTATATCCGCCTACTTTTTCCAGATGCGGAGTTCGCATCAAATAATCACCAATATCAGCATCGAACGGTTTTCCATTGTTGAGTAAACTGTATACAATTACTTCCATCCAAGTGGTACCCGATTTTGGGTAGGTTGCAATGAATATATCACCAGGTTGAGCTTTGTATTGAAGACCCGAAAGAAAATTATCGGCATCTAAATTACTAGGTACTCGGAGACCGTCGATCATTTGTACGGTTCTTGAAAGGTATTTAGAAGCCATGCTGATCAAGTAGTCTTCTACAAAATGAACACAGACGTGACCAGACTACATTATAAGAATATTGTAATGTATCTCGTTCAAACCCGCAAAGAGGAAAGCTAGATCTTGGTCAAATTTGTAGAACTATTAAGAGACCGCATTGGTTTTTAGCATAAAGGTTACGAAACAAGCCAAATCAAGTGAAAGCGAACATGGAGAGGTGACTAGTGCCTTCAATTCTAAGAATATCGTTCTTTTTTACTTGAGTCTGATTGAGAGTGTGAGTGTGAGTATTGGTGGATGCGGGGTGTGGGTGTGGGTGTGGGTGTGGGTGTGGGTACCCATGAGAAAAAATGGAGATCGGAACTTGTTGGAACGGTTTCAAATCCGCGTAAATTCGGTAATCGGAACCGATCGGATGCCTTCCGCTGTAACCCGACCACTTCTAGAATTGTCCGATAAAATACGTCGACCGGATGATAGAGTTCCCAACAGGACTCTACTGACCAGAAATCAGCGGATCCGACAAGTAAAACCCTTCGCATTCGATATGAAACCTCCATTTCCCATGGCAGGAAATCCTCAAAACTATTCGGATTGCGTCGAAATACAAGGCAACACTATCCCGTACAATGCGTTCTAAATCCAGCACCAGAACAAACCGGAACCGGCAAGACCAAACCAGCCACCTACCATCCACTTCACGAAATCATGAAGACAAAATCCGACGACGAAATAATATCATTACGCCAGCAACCATGATTCCCACACTTAACACACGAAAAACCAACATTCTGTACACCAACAACAAAAAATATGAAACCTATCGCATCACAGTACAACGAACCACTCTCCAAAAACGCAGGTTTCTCTAAAAACATCGAACGAACACAAAAACCCAAAACTATATTCTAACCATATCCCCTTGTCCGGAAAGTTCGTGCAACTTATACTACGAAACTGTATCATAACAAGCATCATGTTTATTGTATATAATATCCAACGCTAGCAACTAGACGTTGCCAACGATCGCGTAAGGCGCTTATACCATCAGAAAAAAACTTTAGATCGAGGCCTCTAAGGCAGTGTTTTATCTAGGTTTCGTTTTTCGGGTGGGCTACAGGTTTATAAACTTTATACGATATAGCAATGAAACGTACACTTTTTTCACAACACTATTTTTTTTTACAATACAATTACACTTATTTTGTACCAATATAATATGAAAAAAAATATTTCGAAAGAAGGTTTCCAGTAAGCGCGACATATGCAACAAAATCCATCTGTATTTGGTTCGTGTATAAACCACTTATACTTTTCTGAATACCATTTTTTATATGTACGTTTTTTATTGTCATTTGTCGCTGCTGTTATTGTTGTAGATAATGAACAGTTTTCATTAACGTTCGATTCCTTATCACGTAGTGGTTCATCATTTGAAAATGCCTGTATATTAGTCGTATTATAATTTACAATATCAGTTGTATTGTCATCCACAATATTACTTAAATTATCAGTTATTTTGGGATCCGGAATTTTCAGCACGGACAGTTAGGCACGGAAATTTCAGCACGGGAAAGTTCAGCACAAGGAATGATCAGCACGCAGAAATTTCAGCACGAGAAAATTAAGCATAGGAAAGTTCAGCACAAAGAACAAGGATAATGAGAAAAAGTTTACTATAAAATACAAAGAGTTTCTACAGTTATACAAAATTCTAAAAAGGCTCTTCTGTAACTACACGGGATGAATGATAATGACTCTGAAAACTAAAAAGATTTTGGATCCATATACGGTACTATATTAGAGTCAGTCAAAACTGTAAAACATTGGGACACCATTCAACAAATGATAGACTTGGCACAGGTGCTTTCTCAGTTTTTTACACTTGTCCAAGAAAAGTTTGAGAAATCTCATATCAATCATAATTTGTAATTTGAAGATTTGAACAGGCGTCTTCAGTCTCGGTTGAAACTGAGCATGAAAATCACCCAAACTCTGCTGTGGTGGTCAAATGTGAGTTCCATGTTCGAATGTTACTCCTAGTTTTAAATATTAGAACTCCTTAATTAGCTCAGAGAGCATCGAGAATTAAAGTAATTATTCAAGCGCTTCATGAACAATAGAGTGATGAGAGAAGCATCCCAAGACTTGAAGAAGTTCAAGTTGATGTATTTGTCAGCCTCACTGACCTTTTTTCAGGAAGTTTGTAGGCCGTACGTTCTGACATCGTTAATTTTGCTATCCGTGGACCTACCATAGTCGAGTATAAAATATGTTCTTTGGGCCTATTGCTCGTGTGTTTTACTAATTTACTGAAAATGACGATGATCAAGTCTGACTCTAAATCTTTAGATTTGATGTAAGTTTACTTGTTCCTAACACTATTTTGAACTTGCATCCAAAATTTTTTTAGTTTTCAGAGTCATTATCATTCATCCCGTGTAGTTACAGAAGAGCTCTTTTTAGAATTTTGTATTACTGTAGAACCTCCTTGTATTTTTTAGTAAACTTTTTCTCATTATCCTTGTTCTTCGTGCTGAACTTTCCTGTGCTTAATTTTCTCGTGCTGAAATTTCTGCGTGCTGATCATTCCTTGTGCTGAACTTTCCCGTGCTGAAATTTCCGTGCTGAAAATTCACCAATCCAGTTATTTTATCTTTTTTGTTGATTTGTTGTTGAACTCTTCTACATTTTCTTTTCTTTTAAAATATGAAGTAAGAGATTTTTGTCCTGACGACATTTAATTAGAGATGATCGTAATGAAGTTGAATAGAATATGTTTAATGTAAAGTAGGCGAAGTGACAGAAAAATTAGACTGACAGAACAATAATTTTTCTCATTTCTGTTCTTTTCAATCATTATTATGTCTCATTCCGAAGAACCGACGATTCAATGAATAGTCGAACTGAGTTGTATCAATTGTATTTATATAACCCACTTCCGTCTGTTCCCATCCAGAAAAAACAAGCTATAGTCTTAATGATTTATGAGTGAGTATAGACGAATACATCGTGAATAAGTCAATGATCAGTATAACTGCTTTCCATTAAACGTAATAACGTCGATTTAAGACAAGAACGGATAAAGAAATATAATAAAATTAGTAAAGTTATATAGAGTGTAAGTGAATTTAAATGTACTATCATCAACACTAATATGAGAAATATAGAAAGAATGTTTTCGATGCGATGTGAAAAAGACAAATGATAGCCGTCCAATACATTGGAAAATCCGATAGGAAAAATTCACACAACTGATGCGCAGAGAATTCAAATATTATCAAATGCGCATCCTTCACTACTACTTGAAATAGACAAAACGAATGCTATCGATGATGAAAATGAAAGTAAAAGAGAAAACGTCTACTTTTAATGAAATCAACTTCATATATTCCCGGGTGGGCGAATCTAAATTTCGGGTGAGCGGCGCCCACCCAGCCCATCCACTAGATAAAGCACTGCTCTAAGGTAGTCCTCAACAGTCCTAATCACTTCGTCGTTAGAGTCAAAACTTCTACCACGAAGAAATTTCTTCATATGAAAGAGCATATGGTAATCAGAAGGAGCAACGTCTGGAGAATAGGCAGGATGATTTAATTCGACTAGTCCTGTCTGACGGATAGCAGCTTGCACGATACTGGACTTGTGAACTGGCGCGTTGTCATGAAGAAGGAGCACTCCATTGTTGATTTTGCCACGGCGCTTCTCTGAAATGACATCGTGTAGCCGTTCAATGAGTGATGCTTAATAGGGTCCATTGATTGTCTGTCCACCAACCAAGTAATCAGTGAGTAACACACCACCTTTATCCTAGAGCATAACCAGCATAATCTTACTAATTGATTGGTGCTGTCGAGGTTGACTTGGTCGTTGTTCCTCTGGCCCCTTCCACACCTTGGACTCCTGCTTGCTGAGTGGGTCGTAGTAGTGCATCCATGACCCATCTCCAGTGACGATGCGACTGAAAAACTTGAACGAATTTGGTTCACTTTCCTGCAGTAGTTCCAGGCAACACTCCACTCTATTGAGGCGTTGGATTGGAGTCAGGAATTTGGGAACCCAACGTACGCAGACCTTTCGCATGCCCGAGTAGTTGCTCAGAATTTCGTGGACAATGGTTTTTGGGATGCTCAACTTATCTGCCACACGGCGAACAGAGATCTGTCGATCGCGCATTACAATGCGTTCTACGGCTTCGATGTTCTCGTCGGTGCTCGTCGTCGGCGGACGACCAGTTTTCGGCGCATCTTCGAAGTCACGCATTGGATCCTTAAATTCAGCGACCCACTTTGCAACGGTACGATACGCTGGAGCAGAGTCTTGATAAACCTCTTCCAGTTCTTTAGTGATTTCGGTGGCATTCAACCCCTTTCGACTGACAAACTTTATAACTACTTGATGCGCGATGTTTGACTTATTTGAAATATAAATAAACACTGCTATGTGTTAACGCTGCTCCTTTATTGTTCTGATGATGAAGACGGGAGGAAAACAACACATACACAAGACAAACGAATATCAACCTTTTATAGTTTCTTCGCGAGAGAGGCAGAGGAGAAAAACAGGAGAAAGAATGTGATATGGAGAAAATGTGATATGGAGAAAATGTGATATGGAGAAAATGTGATATGGAGAAAATGTGATATGGAGAGAATGTGATATACCGGGGAGAGAAGAACACGAGCTGATCATGGCTGACGGACATGACACTTTGAAAACTGTAAGTAAGATAAGATAGATACGTAGAAATGTATTGGAAAAGGTCCTATTACAATTTATGGTAATATGTGGAAAATCCAGCATGTAATGTCCGGATATTTTCAGCATTTGTGAATGCCCTGGGACGTTCTACTTGAACAAAGATAAATGTCAAACTTGGAAAAGCTTGCAATCCACACAGAAAGCCGATAATCCTTGTAAAGATGCATTTTCTACACGATGCTGGAAGTGAAATGACTAAAACTCACTATTTTGATATAGTTGCA